TATATATATATATATTGTCTTTGTAAGTAGTATGTATGTATGTATGCACTAGTATTTAAGCCTCTATTATTAAAATTTAATTATGTAATACAGGGCATACGTCTTTTAAGATAAAGGTTATTCATACAGATAGTTCAATTGTTTTCTTTATCAACAACTTTAAAAATACAAACAACAGCATGTATCCTATGAAATCTGAATGTTGGCGTTCCTGGTGTGTGTATGATGACTAAAAATGTGCTGCAACATTTCCTTTGATCTGCTCCTGGCCGGACATAACAATGTGTCCGCTCCCTCCTTTGAGAGATAAAATAGGGGGGGGGGGGCTCTCGTAGCCAAGAGGTTGAAGTGTTGGCCTCTAATTCAATAGGTCCAGGGTTCGAATCCGGTTAGTGACGGAGAATTTCTTTCCTAAAATTGTCCCCTTTGACATCCTTTCCTGCTCTCTAACAATGTTCTGTCGTCTGCTTTTGTCTCCACTTTCTGCCCTCACCCCCTCCCTCCTTTTCCCCATCCTCTGGGCTCCTGAATCTTTCTGCAGCCTTTTTTCTGCTACTCCTTAGCTCCTTCTTACTGCTATCTTTCAGCCACAACCCTGTTCCTGTAGTTGGAAAGATCTTCACTTAGCCTTCTCGGACGAGGAAGAAAAATCTCGGAGGTCTCGTCTGCAAGTTGTCCAGATAAAAACACATTTCCCTGTGAATTTTATAGCAAAAGCAATATTGATTAAAGGCACGAAATAAATGTCATTTTTCAGTTTTGAAGGGCTCTTTACAAAACTTTGGCGACAATTTTCTCACTAATTTCACCACTGAAACCAGGCAACCTCAGTTCCTTCAATCGGAAATATTTTGACTTCTCCTCAAGATAGATGGATATTTATTTAATTAGAAACAAGGCAATTGAAACAGCTTTCAGATGATACCAATAGCTCCAAATACCCCAATATTGACAAACGCCTTATTTCACCAAGCCATACCACAAATGTTTGCTGGGAAACCGATAAATGTTTCTGGGTATTCTCAGAGGGTCTCCTGGGGTAATAATAGTTGTAATGTGCAGATAGCATGCTGCGGAGCTTGAATATGCGCTATATAAATGCAATTATATATATATATATATATATATATATATATATATATATATATATATATATATATATATATGTAATTAAAAAGAAAAGCAGCAGAAAAGAGTGTGGTACATACAGAGGAATATCACAACTTAACCATGAGTGGCCAAAACTAGAGGTGGGCAAAATCCGGATAATCTATTTATAGGATAACCGGATAATTTTCAATGAAACATTGTCCGAATTCAGACTCTTAACTCTCTTTCTTGACCCGTTTGCCGAAGTGGGTGCACCCATTTGTTGAAGTAGTGCTAACCCGTTTGTCAAAATGGTTCTAACCCATTTGCCGAAGCGGTTCATGTCATATTATTTGCCCAAAGAGGTGCACTGACATATTATCCGGATTTTGCTAAAGCGACTCATTGCCCAGCCCTAGTCAAAACAGTTGGGTGCAGAGTATGACACATTCTAGTCTGAAGGAAACCTGAGCAACACGCAGTTTGGATTAAGAAAGGGGACAGAATGCACACAGTAAAAGCCCCTGCCTCATGAGCCCAGTGCGTATTATGCGAGGTGGATGACCTGGGTTTGAATCCCGACTGAGGCGTCACTGATGTTAAATCGTTTATATTGTTTTCAAGGTGGTACACCGGATTGCTTGATCCAATGGGAAACAGATGTTACCACATGTATTGCTCTTCTATAATTATAATGGATTAATTATGAGCTAAACTTTGTTTCTACTTTGAATTCAAAGGAACGTAATAATGTCTAGGAAAATCAGTTAAATGCTTGCTAAAGACCTAACTAGTTAAAGACCATTCCTCAAACTTACTTAGGCCCACGTATACCTCCGTCTAGATGACCTCTAGGGCACCAAGGATGATTGGGCAACCACTTTTATCCATCCTTCTCTATTTTCAGTATTTCGAAGGGCTTCACCCAACTTTAAACTTGTTCGTTCCGTTATGCTGTCTTCCTACCTCTTTCTCTGCCTGCCTTCCCCTTTCCCTCCTGGTACAGTGCCCTGTAGGATCATCTTTGCAAGTCCTGTTGATCTTTGTATGTGCCCATACATAACGTCGAAATTTGCGTTTTTTCAAGGAAGTGAGAAGATTTTCATTGGGCCCAATGGCATGCCTGACTGATTCTGTCCCCCAAACTCTAGGAATATAAAACCTAAAGAATGGTATAGCCTAAACGCCTCTTCACCGTAGTCCCCTGTCACTAGCCGATATGAGTATCAGCCTACAGGCCACTCCCTCCCCCCCTCCCCAACAAACCTTGGTCAAAGGCAGGATCTACTAACAGTTTATTATTTTTTACCCCACAGTCAAAATGTCTGGGAGGAAAGTGTCTGCAGTGAAGTTCAATCCTGATTACTTCAGGCTGCCGCAGCCTCTGTGGATGATTTCCATTCCGTTTGGACTTTGGCTCTTAGCGGTGAGTGAAAGTAAAGAGTAGGCTACTTTTTCATGTTTATTACATTAAGGACTCGAAGTAGGAGGGCTGTGATTGGAATAATTTACTAGATGTGCACGATTTATTCACATTTGCTGGATTCGGATGACAAGGGAAGGGTAAGAGTTTTCCTTCTTCTTCTTCTTCTTCTTCTTCTTCTTCTTCTTCTTCTTCTTCTTCTTCT